TGGCTCAAAAGTGATCTCTAGACTTTGGATCTCGATGGCCCATTTTATCATTCTGCTTGACGACTCCATGGTTGTCAGTGGCCGCTTGATTGGCTGGTCGGTGTAGACCATAACCGTGTGTGCCAGAAAATAAGGCTTCAATTTTTAACTGCCATGAAGAGGGCAAGGCCAAATTTCTCAACCATAGGGTACCGTAACTCAGCGTTCTTTAAGACGTGACTGATGAAGTAGACCGAGAGCTGGCAGCCGTCCCTTTTAGCAAGGAGGACGGCACTAAGGGCATGGTCAGAGACTGCTAAATACATGTATAGTACTTCCTTGGGTAGAGGGCTGACCAGCCTTGGCAAGGAGTGCAAATGTTGTTTTAATTTTTGGAAGGCCGCCTCTGCATCCGGCCCCCATTCAAACATGGTCTTCTTCCTGATAGATTGAAAAAAGTAAAGGCATTTGTCGCCCGACCGGCTGAGGAACCTCCCCAATGCCGCTAGGCAACCCGTAAGCTTTTGCACTTCTCGGACAATGCGGGGCGACTGCATGTCTATGACCGCCTGTACTTTCTCGGGGTTAGCCTCTATCCCCCTTTGATTGATTAGAAATCCGAGGAACTTCCCAGACTCAACACCAAAAACACATTTCTTAGGATTGAGCATGACCTGGTGCCGCCTGAGTGTGGTGAATGTTTCTCGGAGGTCGGCTAGGTGGTCCGTCCGGAGTTTAGATTTAACAATCATATCATCTATGTACGCCACCACATTCCTTCCAATCTGGTTGAAGAAGACCGTATTTATCATTCTTTGGAAGGTGGCAGGCGCATTCTTTAGTCCGAACGGCATGACAATATAGAAAAATAACCCCTGATTTGTGACAAAGGCCGTCTTCTCTTGATCTTTTTTCCACAGGGGTATCTAATGGAAGCCTGAGTAGGCATCCATGAAGCTCATCAAGGCATGGCCGGCTATAGAGTCGACCAGGTGGTCGATCTTTAGGAGTGGGTAACTGTCTTTGGGACATGCCATGTTCAAGTCTGTGTAGTCTACACACATGCGCCAGGTCCCATTCGACTTTTTGACAAGTACTACATTCGCTACCCAGTCTGGGAAGTAACACTGTCGAATGAATCTTGCATCCAACAATTTCTTAACCTCGGCGAATGCCGCCTGGCTTCGTTCTTCACCATGGTTCCTCTTTTTTTGCCTGACCGACTTCTTTTTGGGATCCACAGCAAGCTTATGTACGGCCAGATTCGGACTTATGCCTGGCATCTCATGAACTTCAAATGCAGATACATCTTTGAATTCCCTTAGCAGTTGGTGTAGGTCATCACCAAGTTCAGCAAAAGCAATCATCCCGACCTTAACAGTTCTCTCAAGGTGAGTGTCATCCAGGACGATGTCTACATGTTCACCAGCCGGCTGAGGGCGGAATTCATCTGACCGCTCCTTGGCCAATGATTGCTATTGTTTTCCTATTCTTTCGGCCTCTAGAGGGGTAGCCTTTCTCTTCTTGCCGGCTGCTGTTGGGGCAGGCGCGGCTCCCTTGACTTGCTCTAGGTCTGTAGTCTCCCCACTGGGGCCGGCTGCCTCCACAGTGGGTTTGATGTCAGAAAGATAACACTCCCTGGCCATCTTCTTGTCTCCCCTATGGGAGCCGACTGTTCCATCATCTCTCTCAAACTTGAGAAGCATGAGAGATGGAATGATAACATCTTTTGAATTATTCAGGGTGGGTTGCCCTAAGATCATGTTGTAGGCCGACAGTTCTTCCACCACCAAGAATCGGACCACCATGTGACGGCCCTCCCCTTTCTCACCCAAGCGGGTAGGCAGATCCACCCGTCCAACTGGGTGTACAACCCCTCCTCCAAATCCCACTAAGGGATGGGAGACTGGGTGTATGCTGACGGGCTTGTACTTGAGCTTTGCCAAGAACTTGTTGTTGATGAGATCAGATGAACTCCCGGTATCTATGAGAATCCGGCAAACTCTCTGGTTGGCCACCTTGCATTCAATTACAATGGGGTCGTCATGTGGCCCCCTGATTCCCCCTAAGTCTTCCTCAGTGATAACAACTTCTGGAAATGAACTTTTGGAGGTCCGTCCCTGGTCGACGGAGTTAACATCTAGACGTTATAGGTGTCGCCCTCTTCCGGTCCGCCTGTTTCCGTTTAGGGTGGTGGGTACCCTTTGATTTCTTGACATAGGAGTTGAGATCTCCTTTGTCTGCCAGGAAGTCCAAGAGGCGCTTGAGGCTGATGCACTCATTGGTGTCATGACCAATGTCCTCATGGTAATAGCAATATTAATCTTTGTTCCGATTATTGACGGAACTCTTCATGGCGGTCGGCTTCTCAATTGAGAGTCGGTCCTTGATTTCCTTGAGGAGAGTCGGTCCTTGATTTCCTTGAGGATGGCATAGCTATCATTGTTAAACTCATACTTGGGGGAGTATGGTTTAAATTCCTTTTTCGTCTTCTGGGACGGCTATTCAGAGGAGTCGGTCGCCCAGACTTCTTTTCTCTTTTTCTCTTCTTTATTTGGCGACTGCTTTGGTCGGCTCTCTCTTTTGTCGGACTTCTTGTGGTCCGACTGCTTTCCAACATTGCAGAGGTCGGTCGCCTGAATGTAGGCGTCCGCCTCCATCATTGCTTCTTGGAGGGTGGTCACCCTCTTTCTGACGAGGTCGAATTTGAAGTTCGACCCGTCCTTCAGACCTTTGAAAAAGTCTGTGTAAGCTACGTCATCAAGTAATCCCTGTATCTGAATTCTCATCAGATTGAACCTCTTGATGTAGGAGCGCAGTCCTTCCTTCTCTCCCTGCTGCATGGCCCCCAGGTCAAGGGTGGTCTTCTTAGCAGGAATGTTCATTGCAAAATTTGACGTGAACAAGTAGGCGAGGGTCTTGAAATTGTTAATACACCCGGCCGGCAAGTTGCCGAGCCATTGCTGGGCGACGCCTTTCAATGTGGACGGGAAACACTTGCACCATGTGGCATCATCCAATCCTTGGAGGTACATAAGGTTGGTGTACGCTATCAAATGGTCTTCTGGGTTGGTAGTGCCATCATATGCCCCTACCAACACATTTTTTACTTTGGCCGGCTGGGCGGCCTCTATTATTTTCTTAGAGAAGGCGGAGGGCTATTCTCTAAGTTTGAGCAACCTAAGTTGCCAGTCCAAAGGCTGAACATTCCTTACCGCCTGTCCTCCAAAAAAAGTAGGCTGTATGAAATATTGGGACTGCGGAACGTATGGTTGAGGAGGCACATACGGGGCCGCATGATGTTTCTGGGAACTAGAACGAGAGGAGGCTCCGGGCTCTCATAATTTGATTTTGAATACCTCAGGGAGGTATTATTTAGACTGTCTCGAAAATCAGACGTAGAGGCGGACTCTGACAGTCGGTCATTCTTCTTCTGCTCCAGCAACATTCGAGCATCGGAGTATGTTCTCTTTGACCCGTCCGGCTGAATATGACGGATGGGCTTTCTCTTCCCTGGTGAGGGGAAGCGGTACTTGGTTAGGTCGATCACTGGCACCTCCCTCTCCCTAGGCTTAGGGTAAAGAGTCGCCTCCCGATCCTTTACAGGCTTCTTCCTCCCAGATTGGGAGGGTCTTCTGGCCGACTGTTCCTTTGGTGGAACGGTCGCCCTTTGTTGATAAGCTCCTGGATCTCCCCCTTGAAACTATTCATGAAGGTCATGAGTTCGTCTCTGGTGATGGAGGCAAATCCCTCGGCCGCCTGTTGATGATCAAGCGGCTGGCTGGCTGGTTTACTATTTATTCCAGCCAGGCAGTCCTGCCGTTCCCTCCGTTCGGTGGGACGAGTGTGTCGAGCTCTTAAGGTCCCGTCAGAGGCCGTATGAGTCTCTACTTCAATTTCATTGTCAGTATCCTGGTCCTTCTAGACCAGGGGGTCGTCCATGGGACGCTTCTCACTTAGAATCGGTACAGACTGTGATTCCATCTCGAAAGTACTCTCCCCACAGACGGCGCCAAAATGTTTCGAGGTTTTTTTATGTCCTACGGGAGAGTTACAATTCCGGGACTGGATCCGTGCGCCTGTACCAGCAAAACAACGGAAACTCCGCCTCCGACGATCAAGTTAGAACGTGTTTAAGGAGTAAAAAGGTGCGGAAAGTAAAAGTGATCTGGTTCCTCTAATGGGAGGAGTGATCGAGGTGTGCAATTAATGCTAAGTCTAGTCTAGCAAGTAGTATGCACGAGGGTTTAGGCTTCTCTTGATGAGATGATTAATTCATTCTCCATGTGTTTAATGAAGGCTAATTACTGTATTTATAGCCTCGAAATACGTGCCCAATACTAGGTTAGATGGTAAACCTAGGACAGATTAGACTTGCCTCGGGATTTGGGCCTATGATGACCGTTTTCCAGGTTGGCAATCTAGGTGCCACGTGGTGTGGCATGGTTGGTCCACGTTGAACCTCCTGGAGTATGACACGTGGCAGCCCCGTGAATGGTCCACGTGGCAGGTGCTGACTGGACTACGTGGCGGGGAAAACTCCCCTAAACACCTTGAGTTTTAATAATAGATTATAGATACTCCCTCTATTTTTAATTACTTGCTTCACTTTTCATTTTAAGCCGTTATTAATTACTTGCCCCTTTTCTTTATTTGGAAAACTTTTACAATATTTAATTTATTTCTCTCAAATAGTGGACCCTACATAAATCATATTTTATTATTTTCATATTCTCTCTCCTCCAATTCTCTCAACAACATTTTCTTTTTACAATTTTTTATTTTTCAATCAACCCTAGTACCTCCATATTTTATTATTTTTCCTAAAACTCTACGTATGAAGAAATAGAGCGTAATTAAAAACGGAGACTCGAAAAGAATATCAACTTATGTATCTTATGACATTTGAAAAGGACAAAAGTCCATTGTGCCCCTAGATATGGTCCATCCCGGGTAGCAGGCTATCAATTCAAAGGTTTCTACCGTATCCGTTTTGTATCTGTACCCAAAGCCATTTCTTACCCGAACTCGTGCTAGTTTCAAGTTCCCACTTTGATGTTAGAACTTAGAACCAGAAGTCCAGAACCACCGTAAATCTCACTTTCCTTCTACTCGTCTCATTTATCTCTCTCTCTTCTCTTTCTCTCTCTTCAACAACAATGGCATCTCGTATTGTGGCGGCTGCTCGTCAAGCTGCTTCCATCACCCGGATCTCCTCATCCCAACAACCTCTTCCTCGCCTGGTTCAACGCCGTGGCCTCGCTGGTGCCGCCGGTAATTTTTCGATTTATGAATCGTGATTTTCCTTTCAATTTGTTTGTATTCGATCTTTCTTTTAACTACGCAATATATGGTTCGACATTTGTATTTTGAATGATTTTCTATAATTTTTGGAAGAAAAAAGTCAATCCTTTTTTATATATTGTGATATTGAGTTGATTATGAATGTTGATCGTGATTTAATTTAATTTTTTTATTGTTGAATGGGTGTTTGATTAAAGTATTTGAAATCAAAGTGATAATTGGAATACAAATGTCAGCTGATTAATTGAATATTTAATGTAGTTTACATTTTGTATGATTTTCAATTGCGTTAGGTATTTTTCGGGTTTGGAGAGAGTCCTTGAAAAGGGGAGATTTACTCAAAGATTCAATCCCAAGTTTTGGGTACGAGCCCGGTGTTAACGAACTATATTGGATTCCACATTGTATTTAGATGTTTATTATATTACGCTACGATGTATGTAAAAATGTAAAATGAAGCTTGTTGTGAAATGAATTGATTTATTAGGGTTTTTTGTATTATTAGTATTTGCCTCTTTATGGGTTAGTATTTTGATTTTTCAACTTCAGAAATAGCAGACTCATTGTTAAACAATTTAAAAGATCTAGGGGCAAAGTAACATTCATTAAATGTAATATAACTCTTCGATTCAACGACCCTTTAGTTTAAACACTGATAATCTGGTCGTTGTAAGTGTCATAATTTAAGTTATAGAACGGTTATTGCCAAAAATGACTAGTTAACTTCATACGTTCCATGTCAAGGAAATAAAAAAAAACACATAGTGGAGTAGACTGTTGAATTTTGCTACAATGTGTGCTTAGCTCTGAACATTTTCTTGAAATTTTTTTATTTCCATTTTGAATTGCATACTTCTTGGCATGTATTTATATGACATCTGTTGTGGTTGAGATGCAATAGGAACCTAATTTCCTGGCCAAAACTTCAATGTGGATTTGTCTTTGGCTTTGTAGTTCTAGATAACTGAGAACTCCACTGGGTTAGACCCAAAAATCAAGTGTCACTTATAAACTATTGTCAGCTTCTAAACATTTAGCTATGTGTTCCATGATGTATTGTATTATTCATTGCAGATCACCACGGGCCAGCAAAGGTAAACTGCTGGCAAGAACCAAGGAATCCTGCTAACTGGAAGGAAGAGCATGTGAGTATCTAATGCTGTGTATTATATACCTTTACCGTGTTTGTGTAATACCAAGCCTGCAATGATATTTGAGTGTTGATGAAATAAGCATTATTATATTATGCTATGTTGCTGGTTCTGGTCTGATTATTCAGTTTTACATGTTAATTAGTTAATGATAGGCTGATAGCTAATTTTGGAAAATTATTTAACATAAAAGGTATCAGAGAAGCTTATATTTCAAGTTTGATTTGATTTTCTGTGACAAACAGAATTTATCCTAGGATTGTAAATTCTTCTTCTGTGTATTGCCACACCTCTTCTCTGATAGCCCTCTAGTCTTTTTCTATATTGCGAACTTGATATCTCTAAACATATTCTTGAGTTTATTCCCACTTAGGATAAATGTGGCCCTTGTTTTGTGAAAGCCATGTAAACATTTTAAAGTTTATGAGGCTCATTCTGGGCTTATTGACTAAGGTTTTCTCAATTTCATCTCTTAAATGAAAATATTATCCATTTGGACACTCCCAGGGTCCTAAACGGCATCAATACACTCTTCTTTTTTGATAAAGTAAATATTTCACGGGAAAACTAGGTAAGTTTCCAGAATAGATGGGTGGGTAGAGTGGAGAAAGGTGGTTTAAAGTGGAGAGGTATGTATAGGACAATCTGTTGAGGAGCATGTTTATGCTTGAGAGACATTGTAGAACCCTGTCTGCAACATATTAATATCCTCATTCCCTTGGAGCAAGTATTCAGCACAAATGTCTGCTCATCAGTCATCAACTCGTACGCTGTTTCAGAGAAGTACATCAAATGTCATTTGTGCATCACTGTAATTAGGATGATCAACCCTTTTCAATCAAGGAAAGTTGTACAACTAACATAATTGGTTCTTACTCGGCTAATTTTTTAATTTTTATCCGTCTTGCAAAAAAATTGTTATACTTCCTCCGTTTCTCAAATATTGCACCATGGGGAATTTTATGCATCCCAATGTACATTTTCACTTTTATTATTAATTATACAAGCGTGAAAATTATAAGAAGTTGATCTTATGAAAGTATATATTGAGACAAATGTAACAGGACCCCACATAGCTGTCTTTTTCTGATGTATGAATCACTACGTCGTTGGATTATGTGAATTGTGTTAAAAGTGCAAATGGTGTAGTTTTTAGGGAATGAAGTATAATGCTTGATTGCTTGGCATATGTTTTTATGTAAGAGTATTAAGAAGTTATAACAAAGATGTATTTATGGATTCATATGTTGTAGAAAGTTTTAATTAAGGCTGGTTGAGCAGTATTGGAGATAGGTGCAGGTTGTATACACTATTGCTTTCACGTTCATATTTACTAATGGTTGTTGAAAAGTAGTTGCATGCTTCTGTGGGAACACCACTTATGCCTTGCCAGCTGACCACATTCAGAATAGTGAACAATATAACTTGTTTTTCTGGATGAAGTTTTCAAAGTAGCTTAGCTCTACTGGGCTGGGCTTACTTTTCTGTTTTTTTTTTCGAGGAAAAATCTTATCTGTATTTGGTCAAATTTTTTTTTTTGTTTATTTTTTACTAGAAGGATTAGGCTGGGGTAACCCTTTCTGTGGTTCACAAGGAAGGATATATAGTAAGACCCGTTTTATGCTAGAGCTAGATCCTTTCAGTTGTGCCAATTATTTTTTGACATGTGCAAGAGAGGAAGAGTGACAAAAAGGTCTATGCATTGTTTTATCTCTTTGATTTTGTACGGGTCAGAATATAATTTTTGTTTATAAGAAAATAATTTTTGTTTGTCTTCTGTTTGATTTGTTTTGACTGTATCTGTTGTTTGTGAGGTTTTCTTCACACACTCTCTTTCTCTCACTCTTGGAGCTTCATTTTTTTTTTGTGTATAGAGCCATAGAGGAACTACTAACTTGAGTTTATGTTGTATTGTGCAGTTTGTCATTGTATCCCTCACTGGATGGGGTTTGCTTATCTTTGGAAGCTACAAGTTCTTTACTAAGGGCAAAGGCAAGACAGAGGAGGTATTTTTTTTTCCCTTAGAGATCTTAATGTTTTCAGTGCTTACTAGGATCTGCATGGGAGTCATCTTAATTTATTCATTTGATAGTATCTGAACAAAGAGCTGTCTTGAGACAGAATAAACTTATATGTTAAACAATGTTTAGCTTTGCAAGCAGTGGTTTATCAATATATTATGTAGTACTCCTCATGTCTATTAATGATAAGCCACACTTTTATATTTAGCTGTCCCAAAATTAAAGGCTACTTTCTATCTGTAATAAGATAAACTTAAAAGTGTCCATGATACTTTTACACTATGTTTGGATAGTTATCGTGGAAGGATGTGGAGGAGGGAAGTAGAGTGAAAAGAGAGGGAGGTGAAAGAGAGGGGGGGTCGGGGGGGGGGGTGGTTGAGCTTTAATATCCTAATTCTTTCCAAGATTAGAAGGTTTTCGTTTATTTATGGAAGGATAATAGATCTTCCCTTCCCTTCTGGGTTTCCCTTTCCCTCCAAATTACCTTATCCAAACACACTCGTAATGAAACCATGAACTGATTTTTATTATTGAAGAGTAATTTATGAAAAGTTGAGTTGTGAAAATGTAAATGTTGAAAGTTCTTGTACAATCAAATAGTCAATTCTGTAAAAATGACCCCTAATTAAGTGTGGCTTTTTGTTCAAAGGTGGAGTAAATATTTTTGTTCTTTGTGCAAGTGTTGTCCTGATACCTATATCCTCTTTATTGGATGTTAGATTGCCTTATGATTTACTGAATGTTTCTTCTTATTCTGTTTCACTATCTCCTATAGAAGGTGGCAGCGGCTTCACAGTAGAACAATCATGAACTTCAAGATGCTTTAGCAATAAAGTCCGTGCTCAAAACTGTTCAACCAGGTGGATGTTTTCTGATATTCCAATTGTTGCCGGTTAGATAGTTTTGGAGCAAACAAATGTGATAAATGGATTTTTGACAATTTGAAATGTTGATGATAAACATATAATTGTCTAAATTAGTGACCTCCTTTGAATTTACCATAAATACCAATTTACTTTCTCATTTTCTTTATTATGGTCTGCTGCTTCTGTTCATGGATTTAGGACAGCATACGACCAGTTTGTTGTATCTTATGGTTCAAGAAATTGAGTGGATGATGTCAGCAACTTTATTTGTTTGCAAATGCCAAAATTTCCCGGAATGATGTACAAGGCTAAAGTAGCCTTCTAAAGTTCTAATGCTGTACTTTGGACATGTTCTTGTACAAGTTATGGTTGGTGTTTAGGAATTTAAGCTACTCAGTGCAATTCAAATTGTTTGAAAAGCAACCCTTGTAATTCCATGGGTTCTGAATCATACTTCTTCCGTATGACTTGGATGTTCGAATAGAGGCTTTAGAATTGGGGATCAGATATTAGAGATTTTAGTAAAAAGTAACAGAAAAATGTAGATCAAGTTGGCATTTTGTTTTTTCAAACATCCCTTCTCCTTATGACTTAGATTAATTTTAAATGATTAAATAGAGGCTTTTAGACTTAGGGATCAGATAATAGAGATTTTAGTAATAGTTGACGGAAATATGTTGAAGTTGGCATTTCGTTTCTTCAGACATGTCCTTAGTAATCCCTATTAGGAAGACTCTATATTTGTAATCTTGGAGAACGTTTAAGAAAAAGGCATTTTTTTTCGTGTACTGACATTTGATTAATGGTCACAGCATCACAATTAGTTTTGCAGTTGGGATATCTGCAATAGACTTTGGCATTACTTTGCTGCTCTTAGGGAAGTTCTAAAGGTTTCCTCTTCTTGCTGATCATTTTGAGTTGGCACCCTAAAATTCTGTTTCTTCTGCTTCCTCATCAGGATCCGATTCTGAAAATCTTCTGATGTCATCTCTATCAATTTCTGGTTCATTAGTTTCAGCATCCTCTGAATCTTCAGCATCACTTTCTTCAATTACAATTTCATTTCCTTGTTCATTATCAATCTCTTGCTTCTTCACTTCGATGCTACTAATCTTTTCCTGTTTCCAGTTTTCTTCTTGGTCATGTAATTGACTGGTGATCTCATCAGAACTTTGCTTCCTGGTAGTACTTTGGACATCATCTATATTGCTACCCTCGTCATCAGTTAGCAATTTGGTTTTGACAATCTTATTTTGCTCCGTGCTCACCAATCTCCCATGTTCATATACTTGTTCAGTTTCCTCTGTTCTATTAGATTGTATCTCTTTCAATTTCATTCCTCGTTCTTTGCTCTTCTTGGCATCTTCCTCTCTGGATTGGCCATCATTTCTGGTGTCTGGTATGTGATGTTTTTCACGAAGATATTTTTTAATCTCAGACTCATTATTTCTGGGTAGGTCAAATTTCTGCTGTTCTTCATTTCTATTAAGAACTGGAGTGCTTCCAGTCTTGCTCACAGTGTACAAGTCATCACCCAATCTCCTGTTTCTTAGAACCTCTCTCCTCTTGCCCTTGGAATGTCTCCTTCTTGCTCTAGAACCATAGCCACTTACACATGTATCTGGCTTTTCCAACATCTGGCCGCCTCTGAGAAGGCTTGTATCTTTCAAGCTATCCGTTGTTTGATGCTCTTGTAATTTCTGTTTCTCCTCGTCATGGCTAGTGTTGGTTTCTTTTGCTTTATCCTCATTGACCTTGGTACCTTGTTCAGCATGATAATCTGCTGTTTCTTTATCGTCAGTTTTAGTATCCTCGTTCTTCAATTCAACTCCATCTTTCACATCATTCAACTTCTCGAGTTCAATGTTTGTACTGTGATCATTCACTCTCTGAATAACATTGTCATTGTGGCTTCTACTGTCACCCATTGTTGAATCTGTAAATGAATCGCTACTTAATTGTAAATCCCCCTCATCTCTTGTGCCAACACTGATGGAACTTGTTACAAGTCTTGTTGTTTCTGAATGCAAATCTTCTCGTTTTTCAAGCTGGAACTTCAGATCTTCAATTTCTGCATCTTTCATCTTTAACATGTCCTTTAAAACAGTAACCTGAGGGGGATCTTCGCTACTCGAGTTCTTTCCTTCTGTCAGAATCTGAATCTTGTTCTTTTTCTCCTCAAGCGTCAACTCTATCACCTTCCTTTCATCCCTGAGAGATGAAATCATAGATTCCATTTCTGAAAGCCTCCTATCGAGCTCCAACTTCTGTGTTCTCAGGGAGTAAGCTTTGCTGTTCATTTCTTCGATTTTCTTCCGAGCTTCTTGATTGAACTCTTTCTCTCTCTGCAAGCTCCGCGGGATATAGATGTACGATAAGAAGTCAATCTAAAGGCATTCCATTAACTCTCAGCATTACAATGGTCAATTCTACAGTGACATGAATTGTATTAAAAGTGCTACGGATTAATTTGTAAGAAAATTTTGATGTCTAAAAAGTGTATTTTTGTAATATTGGATTAATGGACGTGTGATATAAGTTAATACTATGTATTTCGATTCATGTCTATAAGATGTGACTATGTTTTAGTCTGGTAAGTTAATATTATCAGTTATAAAAATTTTAAACTACTATCAATTAAAAAAAATATATGTTTAGCGTAATGATTTCATATATATAAATGCAACATTTTTTATGTATTTCCTTTAATTAAGTATGTTGTTGAAAAGATTCAAAACGACATAAAAGTAAATTGCATGCCAAATGCCTGAAGATAATTGATTAATACCTTCCCCACTCCAAAATAAATATATATTCACATAATAACGTAATTTGAACGAGTAATGTAATTTGAACGAGTAATGTGACAACTACGTATATAGAAAGAAATAAAACGAACCTGGAAGAGAAGGTGAAGGGTAAGAAGCTCATGGTCTTTCTCCTTAACAAGATGAGTAAAGATATGTTTCTCTCTGATCTTATGAAGCACCATAACTCCAAGAATAGCCGCCCCAAACGCTAACAACAGGATCAACGCGTACGGCTTACTGATACTACTACTCCCTCTTTGATTATGATTATGGTTGTTGATATTCTTAAATGAGCTCCCCATTTTTTTCCGTCTTTCTAATTTCTTACTATCTCTCTCTAGAATAAGCAGCTTAGTTATTATGTTATGTCGTTGTTTGGTTGTTGGGCGTTTCATTCAAAAATGCGTCTTAAACTGTTCACTTCTCTTTCTCTCTCTTAGCGAGTTTGTGATGATGAGTAATGTTTTGGCATGCATGAGGAGGAGCTGAGGTAGAAAAGGAAATTTTTTTTTTCTTTTTTCTTTTTTCTTTTTTTGTCAAATGTAATTGAGCATGGAATTTGTGCCTTCACCTTGAAAATGTGATACTTTCATTAATTTTGCCTTGAGTTTTTTTTTTGTCGTTTTCGATTGTTTTTAAATACTTGCTAGTTGCAACACTCACTTCTTTTGACTGTTTTTAAATATTTATAACACTTTTTAATTTGGCATGAAATCATATCATGATAATTTTATTATTTCACTTTCACATTAACTTTACCTGCACAAATTTTTATCCCATACCTGTACATACTTTGTTTTTATCTCTCTCACATAAAATTACTCATCAAAATGTGTTTTTTAGTATACTTTAACTGGCATATAATTTTCGGAAATTAGTTACATTTATCATACATAGTGTACATCATACACTTAAAAAAAAAAAAAAAAAAAAAAAAAAAAAACCTTTTGAGTTATGAAGATTTACATTCTTGTTGGAAGCGTGAGTTGTGCACCCAATGCATGTCACTCCACTTGGATAGAAGGGATATCAACTATCAAGCTACCCTCTCTTGCTTACCACCAGTCTACGGGTGGTCTTTAGTTTCAGCCTCGGTTTTACAACTGCCCTTTATTTTACTTGTATTATTATTCATTTTCGATGGGTCTAACTGCCACTCCTTAGCATTAATTTACGACAAAAAATTATCGTCCTAATTTTTTTTAGGAAAAATTGTATTAAATAATACGACCTTTGCTCCATCCGTTAAAAACAAGTCCACCTTTTGTTTATTTCAAAAGAATATCACCTTTGGGGGTGTCCGCTTTAAACAGGATTTTTTACCTGCAACCTTAATGATCGGTCATCCTTTTGATTTTTTCTTTTAATAACTTCGTTTAACACTTTAATTAACTCTTAATTAGGACTTTAATTATGGTTAACAATTAATATAATTAAAATTTCTTAAAAAAAAAATTAATTAAAATAATTTTTTTTTTTAAAAAAAACTGCAACAACTGCCACCTACGTACTACACTGCATCTCGGCGCGCCCCACTCTCTGCCCTCCGGTGCCGGCCACACCCAGATCCCCCCTCCGGCGCCGGCGCCCGTGCCGATCCTTCCCCTCATTCCCTCTTCCCTGAACTAGCTTACCCCTGCTACCCGAAATCCATCTCCATTACCCACCCTCGAACTAGCAAACCCCCTAAAATCCATTACTCACCCTCGAAAAACCCCAACCAGACCTCCCCAACCGTCGTCAACGGTTTCGATTAGGGTTTTTAAGGGTGGGTGATGGATTTAAGGGTTTCGATTTGGATAAGGCGAGGAGCGGCATCAACGGCGGTGCGGCGGAGAGAGATAAGTTGGGCGGCGACAGGTGGAGTGCGGTCTTTTACGCTGCGGAGGTGGAGGTTGTTGCGAGGTGTTGGAGGTTTTTGCGAGGTGTTGGAGTGGCAGTAGCGTTTGGTGGGGCTGTTGTGTAGGGGTTCGGTGCCGGTGGTGGTGGAGCTGGGCGTCGGCGGAGTCGTTGCGTATGGGGGAGGGGGAGAGGAGGTGGCTGAAAGGTGGGAGATGTGGTGGCTGGTGTTTTTTTTTTAAAAAAATAAATTAAATTAATAATAATAATAATAATTTTAAAAAGTTAAAAACATTAAAAACAATTCTATTTTCAGACCAATAAAATGATGACATGTGTCCATATAACCTATTAATCAAGTTACCAACAGGTTATAACTTGTTTAAAACGGACACCCCCCAAAGGTCGTATTATTCTGAAATAAACAAAAGGTGGACTTGTTTTTAGCGGACGGAGCGAAAGTCGTATTATTTAATGCAATTTTTCCTTTTTTTTATTAATATTATATTATATTTATGATATTAATAATGAATTACTTAATACAATGTTATCTGACATGCATTAAAAGACATTGCGCGCACAAAACGCTAGTTTAATGGAAGATAGGGCAATATCATGGTTGGAGCTGAAAAAATCGATAGCGAGAAGGATCAAGAAAAGAGTTACTGTAGTCTATAGAACGTTTGCATCTAACAAGGAAACAACCTCGTCTGTAAAACACGACCTCACCGGCTCAGATTTGGACATTTCACTTGAAAAACATGCAATTATTATCATTAGTTCATTATAAAACATAAATCTCAAAATGGTTTTCTCTTTGAAAAACCCGTTGACGAAAAACTGCTAAAAAGTAAAGTACAAAACTGCAAAGCTATTCCAAGAAACAAGATGATCTTGTATACCTTTGTTGCTCACTCAACCAGAATTCTTCTGGAATGTGTATGATACAAATTACAAAAACTTTACAGAGAATGCCTTCATTACTTTGAAGAACATTGCTTACTCTGAAATTCATCAGACGTTAATGTGTTCATAAGCTCCTGAAGCCTTGCAGCACCAGGGCCTGGCTTAAAATCAGAATAGTTACCCCGCAATGAGCAGGGGTCAACCCCACCAGAAGAGTTTCCGATACACCATGCACCAGGGGGAAATCTGTTTGTGCGACCTAAAAGCTCTTTATCAATCTCGTCCAAAACAGGGTCATTTCTCGCAAATTTGCGGGCAAATAGTGCACCACTTTTTACCATCTTATCAAAGTCCTTCATGGACAAAATGCGAGGGTGTTGTTTTGGTGGATTGTCCCATGCAATATAATGAAGATCATGACCTATTGCTGTACTACGGAAATCCTCATTGTTACAAATTACAGTATGAAAATAACTTTCAGGAGAAGACATAAAATTAGTGAAATACATTAAAACTGTTCTAGGGAAATTGTCCCATCCCCATATACAATATTCCACAAAAGATCGAGTCACAACTACCCATGCTGAACCTGCAACGGGGTAAGAAAGTGAAAACTGTCAAATGCATTTTTTTTTTTTGTTTTTTGCTACTTTGTTCCCATGAAACAGCTATCTAAGAAACTTTGCTCAAAAGATCAAATAGGCAATTCCATTGAGTCAACTACCACCACAGCTCATATCAGTAGATAGATAAATAAAATGATATACTATCATATGCCAAAGGGTTGAAGGGAAACCAAAGACATCTCTCCGATTATGTATATAAGTTGTTGAAGCTAATAAAGGTTGGGAAAAATCGGATTGCAGTATACTTCAGTTAAACACTAACTTCATTTTTCACTTATTTTGACCCTAAACATTTAGCAATTGCTTCAATAAACCATAAAGAAGAATTTGATTTACGCTTTGTTTGGATAGCAAATAAGGAAAGAAAGGAAGGGGAGGAAAAGAGAAGGAAGGGAAGGGAAAAGAAAGGGAGGGGGAGGTGAGCTCCATTTTCCCTCCTAATCTCTCCAATTTTGGAGGGATTATGCATATTAAAGAGAGGGAGAAAATGGATCCCTCTCTCTCCTTCCCCTTCCTTCCCCCAATCCTTTACCCAAACAAGAGAGTTTGTCCTCCTCCCTTTCTCTTCCCTTCCTTTCCTTCCATTTCTTTCTATCAAACAAAGTGTTAGTTCAGTTTGGTTCAGGTATTTTAGTCTGGTTCAATTTCAGACTTTTTGGTTTTGCAGAATTCTAAAGCTGGACCAATATGATAAACCAAACACATATGAGATATGACAAGTCTCCCATACTCTCTAAATAGGACATGATTCATTTGAGTCATCGAAATAACTCAAGAGTTACATTAAAAATGGCACATAAAATAAAAGAATACAAGCTAAGGAAATGGTGAATGTTTAATATGAATCACATCAGATTTAAACACAGGTTTTTGATTGATTTCTCATAGTCACAACTCATGAAAACTGATTCAGACTTCCAAAAAAATATTCATAAAACTCCAGCCTTTCACTATCCAATTATTCAAGATAAAGCTTTCTTTCATAAACATGTTTCCACACCTATACATTACACCTTAACTCTAACCTCCAAAATAAAACCTAACGAAGCCAAGGAGAGGTAAGAAGATACACAAGAGTACATTGGGAAAATTCTTGAGCCTTGACAAGCTGTATAAGTCACGTACAAGGTAGGAGCGGACTGGGAAAATTTGGAGTTTAACAAGGAAGAGCCGGCCAAATAAAATATAAGAGCAGATAGGATATACACGTTCTTAACAAGGGATACAGTCACCTGATGATTGAATGTCCTAAAAAATATGAATGTATTATGTGATGACCCCAAAAGATATTTGAGAGATCAAAGCTAGATGGAAAGATCCCTTGGGATGAAAAGGAAGAGAAATTGATATAGGCAGAAGTCAGTTATTGATGATGAACTATCCCTTTTCACCTCCAATATGTGATGAGGAACCACTATTTCAATGTAAATATTTTGAGCTATATTGCTAATTCTTCACAGATATACGAAGCAATGTAGTCAAATTATTAAGCTTGAATCGTCTACTCTTTTTCAAGGTTCACATTAGGAATATCCATGACGCTATTCCACAGCTTAATAAAGATTGGAGTCTCAAATGACAGCCTTCTTTTTCCAATGATTTTTCCTCAAACAGATTGGTTCTCTCCCATCCAATCATAAGTTTAATGATAGTGGTCAAAGGAATGAGTTTAAAGATAGTTGTACATTATGATGCCTAGGTTTAGGATGCTTGGAGGACTTTTGGTGTATCATTTTTGTTGGCAGTTTTTTTGTGGTAGTTTTTATAGCTTCTTTTGCTTTGATCTAAGTGGTTGTAGTGGCATACTGCTTTCAGTAATTAGTATCACTCCTATGAACCGAGGATATAACACTCCAAAAAGAGTGTGGAAGTGAGGGCATCCTTTCAATGCAAATCCATGGTAAAGTTTGAAGCTCCAATGACTATTTGGGGTCGAGTTTTACTATGAAACGCCACCCATGATCTTGACTAGGCTTACGAATCTCCATTTATATAAATAAGCCCTCTGTCACATAGTTTTAAAGACTCAATTTTGATGTTGACCAAGGTAACTTGGTGTCATAGGTGTCACCCTATACAAAAGTCATCATGTTGAATAAATACTCCTTATTTTATGATGGTAAAATTAGATAAGTTTATCCCACCTGTTTTATTTGTGACTGGAATTCCTTAAGATTATTATGAGTTCTGATTGTAAGACTGCTTTGTGCTCAAGTCTTAGATTCTTTTAGACATTACCCTCTTTTATTTATGATTAAAATGTATCGTTCTTTAAATTCTTCAAAGCGTGAACAAAAGACACCAAATAGTTATCTTCATCTGACGATTTTAATCGTAGAAAAACATGAATTCCTCGAAAGAATCCTCGCGTGCACCACATCCCTCTTTTAAAGAGTAATGTTACATTGCATATCAAATATAATAATAGAGTACAGTTATTAGCATATCTTACATGATAGCCATCTATCCTCTCCATATGATGTGAGAGAATGCATGACTCTCCTCTACTTAATTTGAATTTAGCTTAGCTTATGGCTAACATGTTTTTACATGTACTTGTGTGGATTTTCGTGATTTTCCCTATTTTTAGTAAGTTTCCATTAATTTATAGTTTGGATCCTAATTGAGTTACAAATTGTTTTTCACTTTTCTAGTAGATTTAGGATTTGTTTTGCATTTTGTGATTAAGGTTAGTTTAACATTCTTTGGGCAACAAGTATCTTAGAATTGTTACTGATGCAAAATTTGTACTGGCTTGATTGGAAATTACTAAGTACGTAGTTGGTGGAAAAAGCAGCAAATTTAATATGTAACGTAATATATACAGTTAAATCAAAATATGTTCGAAGCAATATGTAATAAAATCAAACATGGGTAGGAATCACATCTAGCTATGTCTTGGTCAATTCCAGTTCCATATGGTTTGCTACGGGTTTCTGGTATAGATTTTCTTCACATGATAGACTGAAAAAACAAGCATGGTCTCAGGTTATTTCGTATGGCGGTATGGGTGATCCAGTCAGATCAGCTTTACTATGTCTAAGTTCTAACTATAAGTATTTTGATCCATATCGTCCTTTGAGATATGCGCATATAGTCACAACATTACCTAGCAATCTAGATGCAATTTCAGAAGAGTCATTAAGTCAAAAGGTTAGTTTACAAAGTGTACACATGAAGTAAAGTATAAAGAAAATGCAGACATCTGATTAGACATACCAGTAAATAACTTAAAAGCAGTAGGAAGTGATCGGCGCTGGGTAGTCATAAGAAGATCAGACTTTTTGGACAAGTAGAGGCCAGGATCTACAACAATAGGCCTCGCCCTCTGGCTCCTGTAGATGTAAAATGAATTAGCATACAAGTAAAGAGTAGTTTATAGTTTAGGTCTGCAGCAGAAGCATACTCACAGTTTCCACCCATTTACCATCTGCATATGCTCAATAAAGTTCAGATTCCGTGACAAGTTGGAGAAAACATGAAGCATATCTGTGTGATGAAAAATAAGATGACATTATACGCAATACGCTTTGTGTTGAAAACTGTAAATTTAGCAGATAAGGTAAGTATGAAAAACAAATACTCCAAACTATCAAGCATATTAGGCGTCCAAATTATACAAGCATACAGCTGCTAATAAATGCAAGGATAGTAGAGCCAGGATCACCACCTTACCATTAACTCTCAAAACAAAGAGGAAAATGGATGAAGGAATTAATCGAATGATTGATGTTTCAGACAAGATAAAAATTAGGGTAAAGACCCGATACTAACTGACAAGTACAAAAGCTGAAATAAATATCCTAAACCTCGCAACACATTACTTCCTAAAACCTGTCAACATATATTAGGAATATTCATTAAGCTAGACAACACATGAGCTAGAGCATAACTGAAAGAAAAAGTACTATATTAGACATTTGTAAAAACGATCAGGATTTGTGGTATGGAAGGCAGATTTACATCCATGCTATGTTCTTTGTGTCAAAGTTAACTTTTACTAATAATCTTGCAGGACAAAAGCAACAGTTTGAAAAGATCCTGGGTAAGCAAGGTCCTGAAGAAATACACCATGACAGATGTCACTTTTATGGAGCATTAAGTAAGATGTGATCAAATTATACAAGCATATTGTATATATTTTCCACTTCTATCTAATAATGATAACCAGTAAAAACTCTATTGTTGGCAACACTGGAAGGTCCCCTAACACACAGCCAATCCCTGACCAAAGATCATCCACTACACTGCAATCTCATATAAATTTGTGCATTAGTTAAAACTTTACGTATACTTTTATGTAAATAATCAAGCTGGGATTGATAGTAGATAACATTCGAAATAGCTAACTTATTTTCTAACATCTAGATTGAGATCAATCCATGTAAAGAGAATGCATCAAATTAAAATCCTACCAATGGCTACAAAACTATAGAATAGGATAAATAAAGGTTTTTTAGGAACCAAAAGGCCGGTAAGGTAGCAGTGATGGTATTAGGTTTTCCATCCTTCAGTTTCTCACAAGAATACCATGAGATTTATACAACACCAAGCATTTTTTTTTAGGACTTTTTATGCAGTAAGCTTTAAGATCTGACAATAATAGAATGAAGGTGATAGCATCATAGGCCTCACAGATCATTGCTATTTCTACACAGGACGATTTAGAGGAAAGGCCTGCTCATTTATACTAGACATGCTTGAAATACCTATCAATAATGCACCCTCCATCCCGTGATAAAAAGTTCTACTTTCTATTGTTATTTGTTTCATAAACTATCCTAATTTATCTAACCATTTATATATCTCTATAATGATTTACCAATATATTATAGGTTAATCTTATACATTTGTCAGTAATCAAACTCAACATGCTAGAGGAGCTAAGTTATACTAATAACTAATTGAGGCAATGAAGGTGCAAGTATACTTTATTTGGCTATTAGGCACAATTCATAAAAGATCGTTGTGTTAAGAAACTGACTCATTGCTACAATTTGGTAACGATAAACTTATATACAGCCCATTCACAAAGCTAGAAATATAAAAGATCAACAAGATATAGACCCATCAACTTTTCTTATGGTTTCATCTCTCAATTCACTTGAAAAAAGTAAAATACATTAGATCAATCACTATGAGGCTCTACAATAAGCCAATTCACCTTCTTCCTTCAGATTAATCGCATCAATGAGCTTTTACATCTAACAAAGCTAAAATTCAAACCGTATAAAACATGTTATACATTGAGAAGAGAAATAACACATGGGTCACAAAAACAAGAAATGAGAAACAGCATAAAGCTTTCTCAAACGACATTGCACAGTAAAGACCATAAGAAAACTGTAATGGCAAAGTTTATGGAACTAACCATCTTGCGTCATTAGAGGATAATCTGAGGCGCTGAGGTTAATAAACCAATCCCAGTTCAAACTTTCCCTTAGCAAAATGGCTATAGCTTGCAGAGTGCAAGCAATCATTGTTGGTCCTTTATAAGTCACCAAATTCGATTTATCCATCACTCGAACATTCTCCACTTGATGAAATGTAGGATCACTTTTAACAGACATTGTCAAATCTAATCTTTCCCTAGGTGGAGCTTCAAAATCCATATGCAAAATATACTGATTTCGCGGATGGTAAACAGATTGCAATACTCTCATGATTCTCTGACTATCACCTTTAGTACCCGATATTAGATAAGCGAATCGAGGTGGTTCATTCTTCGAATTCCCACTCAATAATAATGATCTCTTGATATTATCTTCAACAAAATAATCAGTCCACTCCTCAGACTTCTTACCAACTTCCATACCATCAAATTGTGATACATCCTCATCAACATTCGGCGAATACATTCCAAAAATACTAGCTAACAAAAGAGTAATCGATACGAGTAAACTCGCGAAGAACGGTATAATCCATTTCCTATCACTAAAAAACCTGCTTGAATGAGGATTCACATTCTTCCTCATAGCCATTAAACTAGGTAACCATAAATTCAACAAATACAAAATATTGACAAAATTTCTTCAAATTTACAGAAGCTTATCAAATGGGATTTCCGTGGATTCAACTGAAATTCCCAAATCTAAAAAACTAATTTGAATTTTCCAATCTAAAAAAAAAAACACTAAAAATCAAAAGAAAAATTGAAAGAGTTACACCAATGAAAGAATTGAAGACAACGATTATTTACCTAGTTAGTGATAGAATTGAATTTCTGGAAAAGTTTGAATATGGCCCAAATCCTTTTCTCTCACTTTGAACTTCATTTTAGGGTCAAATAGTAGGGAAGAAGAAGGATGTCCTTTGCTTCTTTCTTCTTTTTCTGGAAAAGTTTCTCCAAGCTGGGAAATCAGTAAAATAATGATTCACTTTAATTTGTGAATTATTACTAATTTAAATTTATTGAGTTTAAAATAAAACCCTATCAATTCACCTTTGAAAAAATACATCCTTCGTTTCCTTTTAGTTGAAACATTTCTTTAGTCACGTATGTTAATGTACAAATTCAACCGTTAATATCTTTGATTACCGGTTATCAAAAATTATAAAAAGATACATCATGACGAATCTAACAAAACCCCACATGACAATATTTTTCATTACGTATATATCACAAAAAACGGTAAAAAAAAAGGTGTGTGAATAGTGCTAAAATCAAAACGTGTCAACTAAAAAAAACGGAGGTAAAACACATTAAAACACATTGGCTAGAGAAAGCTAGAGAGAGAAAGCTAGAAGTTCGTCCATGGTTTTCTGATTTTGCTGTTTTTTTCATCAAATCAAGATCTATGGCTCGGAAAATAAAGCAATCTACTCTTGCTCCTGCTAAAATCTCTACAAAAATAATTGAATCTCTGTTTACCCCTGCTACGATAGGGTTTCCTCCATTGCAAGAATCTGTTGATGAAGGTGATGAGTTGATAACTCCACCCCTTGGTCTTGTGCATCCTTCAGCGGGCAAGATATCTAGGCAGGATGCTGAACTTCTTGCTCTTAATTTTGGATCTATTGCTCTGAAATCCAATGTAACAGTAACTCAACCCTCCGGTACTGTTCCATTGGCGAATGACATTGGCTCAGGTATGGTTCAATCTTCTAAACTTGTAACTCCTAACTGAGCGCAACTTGATTGGGATTGTTGTGTCTTCGAGTATGGGTTTGCCTAATTCTATTGTAGATGTTGATGCAATTAATGATGTTAATGCAGATGGTGCTAAAAACCCGTCTGGGGCTGTGAATCGGGTACATTCGAATACTGGGTTGCGCCATTCTGGTTCTGGGAAGGGGATAAATATTGAATCTGTGAATGATAAATCTGTTAATGGTGATAATAATGTGGGAGATATTAATGTTACCTTCTCTAGGAAATTGAATGCTAAGGGAGCAACACTCCAGTTTGTTGCTCCTCAGATTAAAAATGGGAAAGCGGTTGCTGTGTTGCCTGTTGTTGAGTTAGATGAGGGTTTTAAGAAATGGAGAAATGATGTTATTGTATATGTGGTTGGGTTCCAGCCTACTATTGCTGCTATTTGCACGGTATTTTTCTCAACAATGGAGCTCATTTCGTAAACCTGAAATTTTCTAGCATGATGATGGTTATTTTATTGTGTGTTTATCTACTTGTGCTGAGTTGAATACGGTTTTGTGTGCTGGTCCTCATATGGTGAATGGCAGACCTGCAATAATTAAGCCTTGGTCTGATAAGTTTGATTTCAGTGCTGAAGTTTTTCGTGTTGTGCCTTTGTGGGTGATTTCCAAATTTACCTCTTAACTGCTGGGGAGTTGAGACTTTGAGAAAAATTGGTAGTCTTATTGGGGTACCATATGTGCCGATGAATGTACCTCTAGACAATTGAGGGTTTCCTTTGCTAGGCTTCTCATAGAAGTCAATGTCGCTAAACCTCTCCTGAAATCTGTTTGGGTTGAAAGTCCGAATGGTGAGATTGTGGAATTAAAGATTGAGTTTGAATGGGTTCCGCCTTATTGTGATAAATGTAACAAGGTTGGACATTGTTGTGTGAAAATGATGAATTCTCAGCTAGGAATGGCTAAACCTAGCACTACTCCGGCTATGCATAACTCTGGGCAGCAGAAGAAGGTTTGGGAGCAGAAGCGGAAAGAAAGTGCTCAAAATGCTGTGATGAAGATCGTGAGTAAGGGGGATGATGGTGCTTGGCATGTTATGAATAAGAAAGGTAAAGGGATTGCTATTCCTGAACTTTCTCATTGTCCTAACCCCTTTGATGTGTTACAGAATTTCAGTGAGAAGGAGAATGATAGTTTGGTTTATCCTAGAGGGGGTAGGCCCCCTTTGGTTCAATTATCATTGCTATCTGGAATATGAGGGGCCTTAATGACCCCACTAAAGTTGCTGATGTTAAGTAACTTATCTCTAGGAATAATTGTGATGTAGTTGGTTTGATTGAGACAAAGGTGAAAGAGAAAAATTGCAAAGCTCTCCAAAAGAAAATTCACTCTGGGTTTTCTTGGTTCTCTAATTATGCTTTCTCTCCTAAGGGGAGAAATTTGGATTGGTTAGAGGGAGGATCGAATTTCTGTTGATATTGTTCTCTCATGCTCAATTTATTCATTGCATCCTCACTTCTGTTGACTCTTAAAGGAAGATTGCTTGTATTGTTGTTTATGGCTTGCACTCTATTCATGATAGGAAGATGATGTGGGATGGGATTTCAAAGCTTGGGGCTATTTCTATCCCTTGGCTGTGCTCTGGTGACTTTAATTATGTGTTGAATAATGAGGATAGGATTAATGGCAACCCTGTTTCAGATTATGAAACTAGGGACTTTCACAGGTTTCTTGAAGATGTGGATTTGGTTGAAATCAAGAGCAAGGGTGCATTTTATTTATGGTCTAATAAGTCTTGTTTCGGGGTTTTCTGATGTCCTGCGGGAGAGTTACAATTCCGAGACTGGAACCGGACGCCTGTACCTGCAAAACAACGGAGACTCCTTGTGGTGGGAGCTCCGCCTCCAACGATCAAGTTAGTACTTGTTTAAGGAGTAATTAATGCGGAAATTAAAGTGATTGGGTCTCTCTAGGTGAGAGTGTTTAATGTAGGTAATCTGCTTTTTTAGCGTGATCAGCCTGTCCTCTCCCTTAATGAGGATTAAGGAAGGTATTTATAACCTCGGGAAACGTGCCAATCTAGGTTTAGGTTAACCTTGGGCTGATTGGGCTTCCCTCGGAAGTTGGGCCTAGGTGACCGGTTATCCCAGGTGTCATGGGAAGGACACGCGTCGTGTCGTAATTGGTCCATGGTGGACGGATCATTGCTTGACACGTGGAAGGCTCCTATTGGCCCATGTGACGGACACATGGCGGAACCTAATTGGTCCACTTGTCAGATGGTGACTGGTGGGGAAAAATCCCCTAATCATTTGCCCCTCACAGGTGGCACGTGACTGGTCACGTGTTACCTGTGACAGGTATCGCCCTGTAACAGGCGACGACCTGCTACAGGTGTCACTCGGCGAGAGGCCGAGAGATTCTCCCGCCAAAATTTTGAATTCTGGAAGTGACCCTTCGCCTTCTCACTTCGCCTATATAAAGGAGTGTTGACTTCGGTCATTTTCACACTTGAAAACTTTGTGAGAGAACATTCGGACCCCTGAACTTGCTCTGACATTTTGGACCCTTTCTGCCTACCGCCTGCTCTGACAAGCCGACTGCAAAGGATTTTCAGAACTTCATCAATCGTCACTCGTTCAGGTAACCGTCGGTTCTCTTACTCTTAATTTTCTCTTTACTTTATTCTTTTTTGAAATGGCACCACGGAAGCACACGACACGACCTAGGTTAGTGATCAGCCGGTCACCGGGGACGGCTGAATCTAGGACTAGGAGTGCCGCCTGCCCTTTTCTGGACCCATCTTTGCCCTTTATACAAAGTCCGACTGTATCTGTGTCTATGCAGAGCATGATGGCCAGAACAAAAAAGACTGCCAGGATCTCAAACTCAGACGGCTCATCCCACAGGGTGCCGATTAGTGAAACATCTGACCAGGCGCCAGATGTGGAAGTGAAACAAAGCGGCTTGAAAGCCGGCTGTTCTGAGGGAGGAATCAAAGTGACCCCTTCCCATTTCACAGTTGACAATTCTTCATTCTCTCCTGCTCCTTTTAAAGGAGAGGAGGCGGGCCCCTCCGGGAAAGGGGAGGAGTCGTCCTCTTCGGACTCGTCAGAGGACGATTCTGAGTCTAGCTCTTCTGGCCATGCTTCCCTGGACACAGAAGAGAAAAACAGTCGCCTACAAGAGGCGAGGCTTTCTCACGCAGTTGAGAAGGGGGACGATTGGGCGGAGCCATCCGCCTCTCACCGAGAGCAAAATACCCCCTACTACTGCACGGTACCTCGGGGCCGGATCACAGCCATGCAAGAGAAAGTGGAGAGCTTTATCGCAAACCACACAATGGGCCCCGGCTTTTTAGTGTTTGTGCCGGATCCAGAAGACACAGTCGTCTGGCCGGCTGGTACCAGTTATGATAGCGCCTGCTTTGGCTGCTACGAGGCGGCCATCAAGGCTGGGCTGCGCTTCCCACTACATCCGGCTGTTCAGCGGATCTTGGATGGGTATGAGTTGGGGTTATGGCAGTTAGCCCCAAACTCCTGGGTCAACGTACTCGGCTATGTGGCCGGGTGCGAACTGCACGGGGTGGAGCCGAGCTTCGAGGCTTTCGCCCACATGAACTACCTCAGCCGGACCCCTAAGGCAAGCGGTACCGGCTGGTATCAATTGACGAGCCATAGGGGCTACCTCATGACGAGAGGTAAAGCAAACAAATGGAAGGACTGGCGGAGCACCTTCCTCATCATTGAGAGTTCAGACACAGAGCTGAACAAGCGCTTCAACAGGTGGAACAGGAATCCGCCCCTTCTTGCAGGCGGCCGCAGCATGCCGCCTGTTCCCCCCAAGGCTAAGAAAGAGATCCTAGATAAAGGACTCTTCAAAGTAGAGGCGAAGGTGAACTCTACTAAGTACCCCTGCACTGCGTCCCGAGCTTCAAATGGCTCTACGACGAGTATTTTTTGGCCGCCTGTGGCCTCAGCAGTCGGTGCTCAAGAGGTAGCCGGCCTGTCGAATACTCTGCTTTTCCGTGCATTTCTTGTTATGACTTTTATTAACTTTGCTATTTGTTTTTGCAGCGGACGCCATGAGCAAAATTACCGCCTCCAAGACTGCGGCGGCCATGTTGCGGGCCTCCATCATGCAACAGTCTTCAACCGACTCCCCCAATAAAGGGGCACCCTTGGTGGGCTTCGAACCTTTCACCCTCTTTTTGGAGTTGTGTTTATGTATATACTGACTCTTTTCTTCATTTTTAGACGGGCGCTCCAAGAGCTTCTTCTTCCCAA